GGATTCGTGGAACTGACCTGCCCCATCCTGACTTCCTGCGTCACCTGTCTACGTGGCACTTTCTGCATGGTATCGGACGCAGCGCCCCTGCTGGGCTCATGGAGGCAGAAGAACCGTGGTTGAACGAAGTTCATGCCAGTGAGAATGTCGCTCTGCATTCGCTAACGTCTCCGGCTGGTTTGGAATCTGCGAGATGTGAATGATGCGAAGCGCATATTCTCCGCATCCTTTCGCGGAAGTACCCATGCTTAGCGAAGACACAACCCCGCCACTGCAAGAGCATGCACACCAAATCTTGTGGAGCTGTGTATTGGTCGAGATTCGACCTGCGAAACTCGAGGCTTGATCCAAGGGCTAAAAAAGAGCCACGCTTTTCTTGCGACGTCGTTAACCATACCGCTACCGCGTGGTTCGTATGCATCCGAACCACCTAGCCCCTGTTTTGACGGAACCCCAGCCTCGATCTCCGTCACTTGTTTTGATCACGTCCTTTGAACTAATCATCGTTTGCCACCTCATCTCATGGTCGAGTGCTCAGTGCTCACCCCAGGTTCCATCGTCCCGTCATCCACTTCCCACCTTCCTCCTCCCAGCCGCACAACCAACAGCACCCGCATCTTTGGTTTGTCCCCGACATTCCCGAGCGCTTTCCCCGCACCACCTCCGCTCACCGACCAGCTTTCCCCGTTCTGCTTCCGCCGCCCTGAAGTCAGTGTGCGACTCTGCGCCCTCGCTCCGGCCCACTCCCCTCCCTCCCTGCGCCATCCGCCACCCCTGAACCGCCAGCCACTATTGTCGATCTCCCTGCGCCTCTCCGCTCCAATCCCTATTTCTCTTCGTGTATCTCAACTGACAACGGACTCCCTCCAGGGAGCTTGCTGCCCGGGTACGAAAAGCATGCGAGGTGTCTAGGAATGATGCCCCGCCCGACGAGGGAAATGTCAACGCACAAACAACCCCGCCCAGGAAAACCGCTGCCCGGAGCAGGAAAAAACTAAACCCGTTGAAATATTTCGCACTAATGTGCTGTCTATTAAATACCAATCCAGCTTCATATGTGTTTGTCGACGACGCTTTGCAAGTTTGCTTGCTGTTCCACTTCTGAGGTCCATCAATTTTCAGACCGTTACGCTCAAGCTTGCTCGACTCGCTGGTCAATTTCCTGAGCCTCAGCCCACTCCCCCCTGTCTCACTCCCAATTAGAGTGAGACGCCAGCCTCAAGTGCTTGTGCTTATTCTGATCACCAACTGAAGCTGAACGCTCTGATCTGTGTATAACGCAACGAGCGTTCGGTCACATTCCAATTCTGTGGCTGGTGCAAGCGCTTCAGTCAGAATCCTTCCCTTTTACTTGAGTAACCAGACATCGCTCGCGTGGCCTCGATTCTCGTCGCCGTGATTCGCGCCCCTTGTAATCCCCACGCGATCGCACTGGCCAGTCCCTCCGGGTCTGGTCCGTGCAAACACATTGGCCACCACGGCGTTTACGGCGGGTAACGCGGGAAACCGTTACGCACACACGTTCCAGCTGGAGACTGCGGGAAAGCTGTGCCTGGGTGCCGTTTCCGCGCACGGTGGTAGGGGAGCTCTTCCGTCTGAGGGGGGAAGTCCCTCGGACCTCCTTTTTCTGGCAGGAGGAGGAAGCGTCACTCCCGTGTTTGTCGCAGACTGAATCGCGGCTGTAGTTAAAGTTTCTTCTCGAGTCGCTGTTTAGCCTGCTTAGGGTTCCCTGAGGTACATTTAGGGAGGGAAACTGCGAAGAAACCCGCGATCGTTTTCAGTGGAGGGAAGTTTTTGACGCTCTTTCGTCGTCACGATGCTGACGATTAAGAAGGTTCCGACAGTGGTCTCCCTGAACCAGGAGGAGGACCAGCCTGCGGGTTGCGGTCGCCGCTGTCTGAATACCTGCTGCACTATTGGTACGTCCCACCTCCCGATCCCACCTTTCGATTCCACCTTCAGACCCGCGTTCAAACCACCCCCTGCTGTCTTTTATTACGGTTTGCTGGTTCAATCACACACTCGGTTTCCGGACCATCTTAGACCACGTGTGTGCTCCCACACTTCGAACTCATTCTCAATTTGCGGACTCTCTAAAGCCATTTCAACATTCTTGCTAACCTCCTTAATCGTCAACTTCAGGTGCTCGCATGCCTCTGTACGCTTACGCGAAGCGTCCTTGCACCAAGCCGGAGCGCATTCAGTCGTTCACGGAGCTGGACGGAGTTCCAGGCTTCCAGCCCGGGTTTCTCGGGAACACCACGAGCTTCGCGTCGTACGACGACCTGCTGTCGATTCGCGAGTCGCTGTCGTCGTCTGACGAGGACTCGCTGTCGTCTGGTGGCGCGAGCGACATTCAGGACGACGACGCCTTCTCGCTGCGCAAGCACATCACATCCGAGGTAAGGCGCTCATCGTTCTTGGTGGTCACTGGTGCGAAGCTTAGATCCTCTTTTTAAGCCGGATGCGACCGAGCGCTTGGTGTTTCGCGCAGCATGCTGGGTGTTCTGTTCTGTCCTGATATTGTTTTTCCACCCTTCCCCTGGCCTGTCATTTTGATTTGTTTTCTAGTGGGAGAAGAAGTTCCAGGAGGGGCTGTTCCGCTATGACGTGACAGCATGCGAGTCAAAGGTACGTCTTATAGAATAAGCAGATCAGAGCATTCATTCTAAAATGCACACTGAGGTGTGCTGGGGAACATGAAGTGAAAGTACAGGGGGCGTGTATCGATTCAATAATGACAGAACCAAAATTTGCACAATAACTGAGAATGCGGTCCTTTCTCGTACATTGTGCAGGTGATTGAGGGCCGTCTGGGCTTCATCGCGCAGCTGAACGAGGGGAGGCACTCCAAGAAGCGTCCGACCGAGTTCCGCGTCGACAAGGTACTGCAGGCGTTTGACGGTGGCAAGTTCAACTTCACCAAGGTCGGCCAGAACGAGATGCTCTTCCGCTTCGAGGAAGGCAAGGACGAGGATAGCCGCTTCTATGAAGCTGCGCTTGTGGAGGAGAGCCCCAGCCTCATGGTCATCAATGTAAGCCCAGTTTGCACTTTGGACCAACTTGTTAGTTTCTTGTTGTGGTTTTTTTTTCTCCCCAAAACATATGTTCGTCAGTCTGTGGGGTTGTTTGAGTTCAGATGCTTCAGTCCAGTCCAAACAATCGCTCCGTAGAAGTTTCTAACTGTCTAATGGTTACTTACTCCTTTGTGCACTTTCTCGCTACCCTCAGGTGTCTCCCATTGACTACGGCCACGTGCTGCTGGTTCCCCGGGTTCTCGACAAGATCCCTCAGCGCATGGACGAATCCAGCCTCCTCATGGCTCTCCGCCTAGCCTCGGAGGTCAACGATCCTGCCTTCAGGATCGGATACAACAGCCTCGGTGCCTTTGCAACAATCAACCACCTGCACTTCCAGGCCTACTTTCTCGACCTGCCCTTTGCCATCGAGCGTGCATCTTCGAAGGAGATCGCGGTTTCGACGAATGAGGTCAAGGTTGGGGAGCTCGTGGATTACCCAGTGAAGACGCTGGTGTTCCAGGCGGGTGCTTGCCTTGAGCAGATGGCATCAGCTGCTGCGGCTGTGTGCTGCAAGCTTCAGGAAGGGAATATTCCCTTCAACTTGTTTATTGTGGACAGGGGCACTCGGCTGTTCCTCATTCCACAGGTACATTCCTCAATTCTTCCTTGATTGTTGTGCTGTCTTCAATCATTGCCTCCTGTGCCTTTCTCCAACCTGATATGGTGTTGTCAAGGTTTTTTGGGCTTCCAACCTGACCTGATCCCGCTCTTGTCCCTTCCCTATTGCAGAGGTATGCCGAGAGGCAGGCAAGGGGTGAGATTAGCCAAGAGCTCCTTGACACTCAGGTGAACCCTGCAGTGTTTGAAATTTCCGGTCATATTGTGTGCAAGCGCCGGGAGGATTACGATAATGCCTCTGAGGAATGGACCTGGAAGCTTCTGGAAGCAACGTCCCTCACTGAAGAGGGATTCGAAGTCGTCAGGAAGATTTCTGTGGAAGCGCTGGCAGCGTCTGGTGCAGAGTTTGCTGAGATTGGGATCAGTGGTGCTGTTGGGAAGGGAAAGGTGGAGTTTGTGAGTGAGGCTGGTGCTTGGGTTGATTTTGCGGCTAAGAAGGGTGGTGTAGTTCAGCAAGCTCTTCAGCTTGCATAGGCTGTATTGCACACTTTCATGTACTAATACACTTGTTTACCTTATTTGTTTGACCATTTTAAACTTTACAGCTCTTGTGCACTGGTACAGCATTGTACCGATGCTCATGCAGATAGCGGAGATCTCTCAGCTGGGAAATCATTAGCGAAGAAGCTTCCCTCGAAATTATCTAAACTCCTGGCGCGCGACCAGAACATTTCGAATATCCCGCCAATCCACTTGGGTCACGTAGACCGAGCATAGCAAAATGACCAATCAACAACCGCCTGTCTACATGCTCCGTTTCTTCAACAATGTTGGACTGCTTGGTTGGGACCGTGCCACTTCGCATAGCAAACATTTTTTACCTCGAAGAACCGTTCTCAACTCCAAGATGTCCAAGCTTCAGTGGTGTCTAGAGGAATGCGATCTGAGCCTTCGAGGGAACCTGGAAAATGAGATTCTACCAGAGACCTCTCAAAGCTTTGTTTCTGTGATTCCGTAGTCAGTATATCCTTCAGTTGTGCATTCATGTCCAGAATCCAGATCTTGCTCCATTACAAAAGATAACGTACTAGGTGGTTCATGCCTGTGTGCGTGCGAGCTTCCTACTGTGCTTCCGTTCTTTCGGGTAGCAGGCGCATTAATCCAGGTCTTGCTCTAGTTAACTCTAGATTCACCAGTTACTTTTCATTGAGACTCAGTCAGCCTCACCGATTGAACATCCCCGCATTGGTGGGAAGAAGGTTCTGCGCAAGAAGGTCGCCTGCTGTACAGATCCCATTAACCAGTGTCAAGCCCTTACAGTCCGTACGCTTTGGAATGGCGGCGTGTCAGGACCCCGTACGTATGCAAGTCGATGTCGATTTCCGTCCTGCTGACGTCATTGAGATCGCAGAAGCGGCGGGACGCGCTATCCTGGAAGTTTACAACAGCCACAAAGAGTGAGTGGGGTAGCAATAGTTGCTGGTCTGGCGGGAAACAGCAGAGGTGCGAATCAGAGCGGAAAGGACAGGTGACAAGGCCGTGAGAAGCTAGCTATTGAACCGATAGAGTGGGGGGGTGACGGGGAGTAGAAACAGATAAGTAGGAGGAGACGTAGCGTCGCTGCATCCCTTTATTCTCGCCTTTCCCATTCTTCCAGCACACCAACATGCGACCCTTCCCATGTTTCTCATCTTCCATCTCCTCCCTCCCCGTGCTTCCCCTGATCGGTTTTGATCCTCTGCTTGTGTGATACCAGCGACTGGGGAGTGAGCGTGAAATCGGATCATTCTCCGCTGACTGACGCTGACTCGAACGCCAACGCGTTAATCTGCAGCGAGCTAGCGCGCATCACGCCGCACGTGCCGATCGTCAGCGAGGAGACCAAGCTGGTGCCGTATGCCGTGAGGAAGGAGTACCAGCTGTGGTGGTGCGTGGATCCGTTAGACGGCACGAAGGAATTCATCAAGCGGAATGGACAGGTGAGCTAGTAACGTCGGGTATTCTTATCATTGCTTGAACCAGAGGAGGGTGGAAAATCCAATACCTGAAACACTGGAAGAATCACTGTCCCGCTGTGCCACGCAAGATAGGAACGAACATTGCCGAAATCGGATACCTCCTGTTCATGCTCGTTCAAATTAAGCACAGCATCCTTGGTCATGCATAACTCTGCTCCAAGTCTTGGGTTACGGCCTCTAGTAACACCGAAACTTCTCCCTCCCCAGTTTCCCCTCCTTCCTTCCATTTCCCCATTCGTCCCTTTCCATCCTTCCCTTCTTTTCCCCGTTTTCCCATCTTTCTACCTTCCATTTCCCCTGCCTTCTCGTTTCGTCCTCCTCCCTCCCGCTTCCTCCTACCTCCCCAATGCACAACGCAGTTCACAGTAAACATTGCTCTGGTGAAAGGCGATCGTCCTATTCTAGGGGTGGTCCACACGCCCTGCCTTAAGAAGACACACTGGGCCGTTGCTGGTAAAGGAGCTTTCCTGCGGGACCATTCCAGCCAATCAGATTCATCGTCTCTGCCCGAGGATAAGCCGATCCGGGCAGCTGAATATACGGACTCGGACCCGGGCCTGGTGATCATGGGGTCGCTGTCTCACAGCACGCCCGAGACAGAGAAATTTATTGGGCAGTTTAAGGACCCGAAAGTGGAGGCTATGGGCAGCTCGTTGAAATTTATGAGGGTTGCAGAGGGGTCAGCTCATGTGTACCCAAGACTGGCTCCCACTTCCGAATGGGACACCTGTGCTTCTCAGGTACCACTCTCCCTTCTTCCCCACATCTTCTCAATTGATGCTTCCTGTACTTGTTTTTACTGTTAGTGAGGTTGGGAGCAGTGTCTTGCTATGAGTGTCTCTCCCTGAGTATCAGTTGAGTGATGTTTACCCTTGACCTTACCCTGACGTTTACCCTTCACCTTACCCTGACGTTTACCCTTCACCTTACCTGATGTTTTTTCCTCTATTCATTTTACCACCTCAGATCATTGTGGAAGAGGCTGGAGGAAAGGTGTTGCAATGGCCTTCAAAGGAGCCTGTAGTGTACAGAAAGGAAAACATTCTGAACCCTCACTTCGTAGTTTTTGGTGCTCGAAAAGAGGCTCAGTAAGGATGCGGTCTTACGAAGGTCGGCGTTTTAAGGGTCTATCATGGATGGAAAGAGTGTTGATACCTTTGTTGCATCACTTTGAGTTCAAGTATACTTGCGCATTCAAAATGCTTTGGGGAGTTTTCAACTCTACTAGCCTACCATCCTGCAGCTTGAGACAATACGGCTTCACATGAATCAGTCCAAGTACAAGAACCAGTTTTGAAACTCGTCTATCTAGGGTATATCTTAAGAGGAGTGTCTAAAAAAGAAAGTGTTGTTATGAGAACGCGTCTAGAGATATAGCATGACAAGTGATACACTTCAAATGATCTTGACCATGGACTCACACCCGCTGTGTAAGGAATTACAATTCCTTACTGTACTCGCACTTTAGCGATTACAACCCGAGGGCCACGCGTCAGATGGTTCGGCCTACATTTCCACACCCAAACCACGCCCGAGTCGCCCCCGCACCAATTGTGACATTTCCCGAGCCATCTCCGCCCAACCTCTTCGCCTAGCTAGGATTCCCCTCATAGATCCCCGCCACTTTCATTGTATCGTCATTCAGCAATTCTCATTCTCGTTATTAGTTATTCTACTCACTCTGCAAGTTCATTCATAACACGCTGACTTCTTTGGAGAGCATCCGTTTGCTTATCCGATGGTAAATCCTTCATGGAAATTAGCTCAACCACGTGGTTCTGTGGAGACTTTTTGCTTGTGATTGTGGATAATCCCTAGGGCGACACTGGTAGGGTTCTGTGCTTTCTTTGCCTGCTCCTACCTTAGCCATTTGCGCCCAGGTTTAGCTGAGGCAGCAGCGGAACGTTGCGCGCATAACATGCGCGCACGGCTGGGCGTTGGCGTGGTCGGCGCGGGCAAGGGCTTGGGGGGCGCGAGCACAAGACCCGCTGAGAGGCGCATTGGTGGAACGGGGCGGAGTGAGACGGCATTGGCGATGGGGATGTGAGACGCTGAGCTGGATTTTGATGTGAGGAGTGATCACAATTTCACTCCGAATCACAATTTCGACCAACCCACACCACACCATGAATGCGGTCCGAGATTTTAGTGCACACCACATCCCCGAGTCCAATGTTTGTGCGAATCTCTGCGACGGACGCCCTTTCTTTCTCACCTCGCAAAAAAGGTAATCCCCAAGCGACTGCTGGAGATTCCCAAGCCAGCTAGGCGGGGGCAAACCTGCAAGCCCTTGTAACGTTCCAACGAACATCAACGAAAGCACAGCAGAACCATCGCATGCAATCATAGCCAATATCGCGAATATGAAGAAACTAATCGACCAACGCACCTCCTTCACATATCACCCCCCACCGATAGATCTCTGAGCTGGCTATGTCAAGCAACGTGAAAGTCGAGGCTCGACAATCCCAGGGTCGAGAGTCTAAAATACCGCGGCTTTTCCTCACATTAGTATCTCACCTTCCTACGCATTCTCTCCAGTATCTCCTTTTGTGGGAGTGCTTGTCGAAGCTTTTGCTTCCGTCGCTGCACGGAAGTTCGTAATCCCCCTCTTTTCTCGTTTTCTCTCGCCTCCTGCGACAGCAACGCTCGAGCTTCGCTCAGTCGCGCTCCTGCCAGCGAACTTGACGACAACCATCAGCCGAACCAGACAACCGTCAGCCGAACCAGACAACCGTCAAAATGTGCAAATTTCTCGCGGTTCTTGGAGCAGCTGATGCTCGCACCCGCGCGAAGGTCCTCGAGTGCACTGCTATGTAAGCCAGCATCAATGTAATGTAAATTGCAACATCGCAACTCTAGGGGTGTTGGACGGGAATTTGCTGGCAGACGATTCGGCGACATCAGGTTCCCGCAATTTGCTGGCGGGAATGTTTTCTAATTGCCCACCGACTCCGAGTTGATTCTGATCGCGCGCAGTTACCGAAATTCTGGTTGGAGTTGTCACGAGAATGTTTTCGGGCAAACAGCCAGTAACACCAGCATTCAATGTGCTGAAAAAATCTCGGTGCGGCGTGGTTCGTCGGGTTTCCGAAAATTTTGGATACCCGGCAAAAACACTTCACGTTTGTGCAGGAGTGGTTCGTATCATGATGTACAGCTACATCGTGTGATTAGACGAGTAATGTAAAGCTAAAATATGTATATAGCAAATACAATTCTGTAAAACACTTACTTTAAAATGCCTGCACATAGTTCATTGCTTCAACATTGTAAACCCAATGAATCTCTAATATTTGTACGATGTTCTTTGGTGATTTCTACACGACAATAAAATATGTCTCACACAGTCGTGTATTGATTACATCACAAAAATAATTATTCGCGATATTTGGCAATAATCATGCTTTGCAAAGTAACATTTGAATCACATGTGGTTAATTGACAACATTAGGTTTTGTGTAGTTAATTATTTCTAAGGGTACATTCTCATATGGACATTTGTGTCTCAATCCCGTCACAAAACCTATGTACTGTTATGCACGGCATTACTGTCAGATTTATATGACATAGCTACTGTAGGCTATAGTGGGGTAGCACATATGGGGTACAGTTTTCCTAGGGTTTGCATTTGTAACCAACTCTCCCTTAGCCATTTTTTCATTCCTCATTTCTTCTCATCGTATCGAGCAGGTTCCCTAGTGGGAACGATTCCTAGGGCCCACCACCACGAATTTTTTTTTCCTGCCCGGAGCGCGCTTCGCTCCGGCCCGAGTCGCGCCCGGTGTGCTCTCCCTACCGTCGCGCCCTCGCTAGGCCCCTCACGGCCCCGTCGCGTCGCCCTTAGCGGCCCTCTCACGGCTCGTCGCGCCGCCCCTACGGCCCTTCGCGCCGCCCTTACGGCCCTTCGTGCCGCCCTTACGGCCCGTCGCGCCCGTCGCGCCGTCCTTACGGCCCCTCGTGCCGCCCCTTACGGCCCCTCGCGCCGTCCCTTACGGCCCCTCGCGCGGCCCCTTACGCCCTCCGCGGCCCCGCCACCTACCTGTGCGGCCCCGCCACCTACCTGTGCGGCCCCGCCACCTACCTGTGCGGCCCCGCCACCTACCTGCGGCCCCGCCACCTACCAGCGGCCCCGCCACCTACCCGCGGCCCCGCCACCTACCTGTGCGGCCCCGCCACCTTCCTGCTGGCCCCGCCACCTACCTGCGGCCCCGCCACCTACCAGCGGCCCCGCCACCTACCTGCGGCCCCGCCACCTACCTGCGGCCCCGCCACCTACCAGCGGCCCCGCCACCTACCTGCGGCCCCGCCACCTACTAGCGGCCCCGCCACCTACCTGCGGCCCCGCCACCTACCTTTGCGGCCCCGCCGCCTCCTCTCAGCGGCCCCGCCGCCTCCTCCCAGCGGCCCCGGACGCCGCCCTCTCAGCGGCCCCGCCGAGCCGCCCAACAGCCGAGCCGCCCAGCAGCCGAGCCGCCCAGCCGCCGAGCCGCCCAGCAGCCGAGCCGCCCAGAAGCCGAGCCGCCGAGCCGCCCAACAGCCGAGCCGCCGAGCCGCCCAGCAGCCGAGCCGCCGAGCCGCCCTGCAGCCGAACCACCCGAGCCGCCCTGTCCGGTAAGAGCAGCGCCTCTTTCACAGCACTGCCCTCACCCTACTGTTTGCGCTGCTAGTCTACTGCTGTCATGGCTACCCCTAGTGTCCTCGCTTTTGACGCTGAGGGTCGGGCCATTGACTTTGACGTCTGGATAGATGACCTGCAGCTTTTCTTACAGTGCGACAGAGCAGACGGCCTCTCCCTCTTTGACCTCACTTCTGGTGCCTCTCCTGCCCCCGCCGCTGATGCTGACGCCACTGTTCGCTCACAGTGGGCCACGCGCGATGCTGCTGCACGTCTTGCTGTGCGTCGCCACCTGCCTACCTCTGAGCGTGCGCACTTTAGCCAGTACAAGAGTGCTCACACCTTGTACGACGCTGTAGTTGCGCGCTACTCCTCCCCTGCCACTGCTGCACTGAGCCCCCTCATGCTACCGTACCTCTTCCCTGACCTTGCTGCCTTTCCCACAGTCGCTGACCTCATTACGCACCTCCGCACTAGTGACACTCGCTACCGCGCTGCGCTTCCTACTGAGTTCTGCGCCAAGAACCCCCCCCCCATGTACATCACCCTCTACTACATAGTCACCCGGCTCCCTGACTCCCTTCACGTAGTCAGGGACCACTTCCTCTCAGTTTGCCCCACCACTCTCACCGTTGACCTCCTCGAGAAGTCCCTCCTAGCAGCAGAGAAGAGCATAGTAGCTGTAGGAGCCTCTCGTGGTGACCCTCGCACCCCCATCTTTGAGGAGTGTTCCCCCTCCCCCCTTTTGCCCTCTGTTGCCTCTGCTGCTGCGGCCGACCTCGCTGGTTTGGAGTCGGTTGGGGCAGCGTCTACCCCTAGCGGGAGACGCCGCCCTGGCAAGGGCAAGGGGGGCAGGGGCGCTGGAGGAGCTAGCGGGGGCGGTGGAGGCGGCGGTGGGGGCGGTGGAGGGGGTGGGGGTGGCGGTGGGGGTGGTGGCGGGGGTGGAGGTGTCGGTGGCGGCAGTGGAGGCGGAGGCGGCAGCGGCGGTGGCGGAGGGAGCGGAGGTGGCGGCGGTGGAGGAGGAGGCGGCGGAGGAGGTGGAGCTGGTCGGGGTGGCGCTGCGCAGAGGGTCGGCTCCGGTGTGTCACGAGACGAACTTAGCTAGGAACGGGTTTAACTAAGGGCCTAGGCTTAGTAGCCTAGGCCAAGCGGGTGTCGAGGGAGTTGTGCCAAGAGAGAATCGAGAAT